ACTTAGGGGATCTCTTGGACTTCACAAAGGATTGATTCTAGGACTTGGGAAACCTCAGGTGGAGAAGACAACTTTCCAAGTGCAGCTCATGTAACGGGGAAGTTGGTGGCAGTGTCGCCTAGCATGGTGACCTAAGGCGATGGAGAGGCTCCATGGCCCTGGAGGAGAGACTAGCAGGGCCTGGCATCTCTAGAGCACCACAGTGAGTGCAGGGGGCGGGAGGAGCAAGCCCTGAGCCATCAGCCTGGTGGGGCAGTGGTGAGGAAGCACTTGCCTGGAACACAGCAGGCAAAACAGAAGCAGAGTCAAGAGCTGGGCCTGCGGAGCCCAGGAAGCTGGTTACCAAGGAAGCAGCATTTTGCCTAAAGATGAAGGAGCTGGAAAGTGTGCAGAATCATGAAACCTGAGGATCAAAAGCATTTCCGCAGAGAGGAGAGTAGCCGTGAAGCTTACATGCAGGGCTCAAGGGAGAATGGAGACCCCTGGCATCTCAGCCAGAGCTGCTGGGCAGAGAAACTGTATCCAGGGAAGGACAGGCAAGACGCCCTGCAGGGAGGAATGTGAGTCAGCGAGGCAGAAACACCTTTGAGGCTCTGGCTTCCACTGCAGGGAAGAAGGACACAGAAGATACTGCTGTGGCATTGCCAGAAAGCTGATGACAGAAAAGGGACCCAAGCATCTCAGATGCTGTGAGGAGCGACCCAGCTCTAAGTGAGATAATTATGCCACAGAAAAGAAATGATCAATTCAGGTTCTTGAAAACAGAGCTATATTTAGACAGCGTGGCACAGCTCAGCTTTGAAGATGTCACAAAATGTCATAAAGACACATTTACCCAAGGGTGACACTGACTTGCTAAGCTACTTCATAATACCAATTATTACCTGTGTATGAAACATTTTTTCTGCATTTGTGACATAGGTAGTCTTACTTTGAAATGCCATGAATGACAGACAGTAACAGTGTCTCCGTTTCAAGCCACACTGTGTTTTCTAAATAAATGGCATTGGACCACAAGACATCGTCTGCACCATTTAACCCCACTCCCAATATTTCTGTATCCAGGTTTATCATGAAGGTACTCAGTGTTTGTCTTTTCTTCTGTTCTTGCACAAGTTGTGTGCCAAGGTTACACTGAGGTCATATAACAGTGAGATGAACAGAATTTCTTTGTTTTCTGCAATCATTTATATAACATTCACCTTCACTGTGATTCATTTTTAAAGTTGTTTGGGTATTCTGTATTAATATGCCACACCATTAAATGTGGGAGTTCTGCTCAAAATTTATAATGTTTACATGTTCAAAATATTTAATACAGTAAAAGACTCACTGCCATTCACCCCTCCAAATACCCCACCCTCACTTTGAATGCATTTATCTCATCATGTCTGCCACTTTCTAAACCTGTTCTGTAAGCCCTCTCCCACTGGATGTGATCAAAAATCCAGTGAATGCTGTTGCCAGGTGCTGTCTATCAGGAAGGCAGAGTCATGAGATCACCACAGTGTGGATGTGTCCTCATCTGTCTTATTCACCAGGTCTGGCGCTGGGTGGTTCTTCCCCAAAGTCAAAATGACCATGAAAACATGATGTTTTGATCCACCTGGGCCCTCAAGGCAGCTGTGACAGCACCACTAAAGACATTCATGAAGGCCTGGGATGGATCTCAGTGGCACAGTGCCTGCCTGGCCAGCGCAAAGTCCTGAGTTCGATTCCTGGTGCCCAAAAAAACAGAAAAATAAAGACACAAAAGGATTCTAGAACTGCTTCAGAAAGTGGCAAGAATGACAGGACAAATGTGTTGGACATCAGGGAGCATATTTTAAGGGGATTCATAGCAATGTGTATTTTACTGTAATAATTTTAAAAATTCAAGCATTTACCATATTTTAGGGTCACGTCACTCATGACTCGAATTCATTTCAATATGTGCTAAGGCCAACAAAGTTCTCATGCAATTGTTTTTGGGCAGAACAAGTTCCAAGATGACACCAATTCCAAGCAGGATTAGGAGGAACCAAGACATCACCTCCATCAGTGCTCACAGGATTCTACCTGGAGCCAGGTCCACACACTTCAGGAGTGGAAGCCACTGCTCAGCACAAAGCCATATCCACACCAGGACAAACATGGGGACTGCTCTGTTGGAGAGACAGGTGTGCTCATGAACCAGGTTAAGCCGGTGAATGTTGGTGGGCATTTGATTCAGAGGATGCATTTTCCTTAAAACATTTCAATGTGAAGGAAACTGCACTGGCTTCATCCATAAAAGGCTGAAATGTATCTTTTTGTGATGGAAACAACAGCAAATAATTCAGAAAACACTCCTGATTTCCTGCAGCCTCTTGTGACCCAGGAGGAGACACAGCCATGAATGCTCTCTGCAAGAATTTTCCCTGTATGAAAATGGCAATTTTAGACAAAGTGAAAAATACACAAAATATTTTTCTTTTTCTAATCTACTCCATTAAATATGAGAGTAATATTTGTAAATATAAATAGTATGTCCTCTACAGATCTTAAAGACACTGAATTACCCCTGGACGTGGTAATAATATTCTTGGAATACGGATTCCTGTAAAGATAATTACACAACCTGACATCACCTCATTTGATCAACATGAGCAAACTGAATTTATTCAGTCATCAGATAGCTCCTTTAAAAACAGCTTGCCCAACAAAAGCATCCAGGTCTTTCTTCTCTCAAATAAAGAGCTGAGCAATTGCCAAACACTGCCAAAGGTTTATTAGAAGACAAGGGTGAAGAAGAAGATTTAGCTCTGCATAGTAAACTTGGGCCAAATGAGGAGAAAAATGGATAGAACGTAAACAGTAGGGGGCTCTCTGGGGTGTCTCATCTGTTTTATGTCACCTACATCTCGTGAGAGCCTGCAAGAAGGTCTATATGTGGGTCCTAAGAATCATCTGGCTCCACCCTGGGATCTTGAAATTGCAGGGTCCCCTTGCTTCTCTGGCCAGTGTTACCATGCCATGTCCTACATCAGTTCTGTTCCAGTGTGGAATGGCCCCAAAACCTCTGTTTCCACAGTAGAGAGTTCTGGCTGCAGACCTGACTCCACTTGGTTCTTCTAACAGAATCAGAACCTTCATTTCATTTTGAGGGGCAGAAGTTTGGTTAAAAACCATAATGTTTTTATATCCATAGTGATAAGCCTCTCCTCCCTGCTGTCTCTGTCTCTTTGTCTCTCTGTCTCTCTTGCTCTCTCTGCTGTAGGAACCACTGTGGAATGTGAGGAAAGTTCTAAAATCCAGAGATAGAGATCGGAGGTATCTGAAGAACCCCTGTATTAGTTTTCTCCAAAGTAACAGTCAAACTTCCATTAATTATTTAACACTGCTGACTTGCCCTGATATTCTCTTGCATGCCCTCTTCCGGATCTCCATTGGTAAAGGTCCAGCCAGATGGACACAATTCCAGTAAGTCTGTTCTTGTACCCCTGATCATAGTAGATGGATCTACAGTCCCACAGCAGAGGTCCTTATTCCTTGTAATATCACCTTGCCATCTCCACCTACTTCTAGCTCCTCAGGGACACAGATGGTGGCTTTTATATCTATCAGTTCACTACCATCATGATTATTACTGTAGCCATCATCTTCCTCTGTATATAAAATGGGCTCACTCAGTATTAAAGGAATAGAGATGTGGTGATTCTGTGCATGTGTGTGTGTTTACAAAGGGACTCTGAATTATTCAAGTGTGTAAACCTAAACCTGTTATCTAATCCACTCCACAGATAAAAGTTCCTTGAGTTGAGCCAATGCAACAAAGTAAAGGAAAAGCCAGAGAATATGATTCGATCAGTCTGAGTATTTAAAATGACTCGTTGCCCAGTTGTGTAGCCGTGATGAAACCAGTATTCATGTTATTGTCATAATACTAATCGTGTATATGTAGAGGGAGCATAATGTGTATGAGATATTTTGGAGTGGTCATGTTGACCTATTTTTCAATTTAATAACCATTAAACAAAGCCGACTGTAATCTTAAACCACGTTATCTTAACTCTTCTAACAATATGCTCTTTGTTTGGTTTTTATAATCTTGATTTTTGCATGAAGGCTTTAATATATCATTTGTTTAAATATCTGGGCAAAGATAAACTGTACAATAAATGTCAGATGATTGGAACTGGAATGACTCCTGCTCCCTCTGCCTTATCAAATACCCAAAATTTACTTCAAAAGTCAGTGGTATAGGAGTCTTTCAGAGTGGTTTGTTAAGTGTGACCTTCAACCCAAAGGTCTTATGACACAAGCTTAACTCCAAAGACACAAAATATCTGCATGACTTACAAAGGCAGCGATGTTTCAACATTAGCACGAGACTTGCCCTTTGTGTCCACTCTTCTGGGCCCTGGCACCTTAGCATGCTATGTTTCTTTTTCTTCCTGGTTACTGTTCAAAGGTGTACCTTGAAGCACAAACTTCAAGAATACAGAAGTTCAGAGACCAGAAGGGAACCCCTAAGAACAGAACACAGCAGAGCAAAACTCAATTAAATTTTAACCTTTCTAACATGAAAGACTGGAGTAGTTTAGTTTCCTCCTTGCCTAAATTAAATTGGTTCCCTGAAGATACAAATAAAGATGCAAAGAAAGCTGGCACAAATACCTCTGGATTCCATGAACCAGGCAATACCTCAACACATTGGATTTATTCATTGTAGTATAAATAGATTCACATTTCACAAATTGGTATGGATCGATTGATCAACAAAAAATATCACATCTTGCATTTAAGGATGAGGCTATGTTAAGATTGTAGGAAAAATATCATAAAGCCTACACCGTATCTCTAAGCATGAGTAATTTCTGTGATGCCTGAGACCCAAAATGGCTCCTATAAAAGCTACCCATGATTGACTTGATTCCTGTCATTTAAACTGCATCTCTGATATAAAAACTGCATCTCTGCATGTTCAGGAAAGACGGATTTTTTTTTTTGAATTTCTTTTTTAAAATTTTATTTGAGGAGAAAAAGAAAAAAATAACAAAAAAAGTGTACAAGTTACACAGAATCTCAGAAAACACAAACAGTAGGAAATCACTAGCTAACAGATTACATATTGTCATCTTAGAAATAGCTGTTCAAGTTACAAAATCAAAGCATACAAAGTGTAAAAACAGTGAGACTGCAAACAGTTCTGTTCAATGATCCAACAAAACTCAGTAATATGGTTATCTATCTTATACACTTAAATATACATGCACTTATATTCTTTAGAGCACTTTTTTTTCCTTTCTTTTGTACAATGAAAATTACACATTTTGGGTTTTATTACTCCCACAGTTCTTATTATTTTTTTTGAAGAGAATAAAACCAAATGTGATGTAACAAAACAGAGTCAGTCAAATCAAAAGGATGGACATAATATATACTGTAAAAACAAAATACAAAGTGATCTACATTGGTTACCATAATGCCTCTTGCTATCTTAAAAATAATTGCCTACATCATCAGTTATAATAAAATTGAACAAAACAGTAAAGAACAAAACCAATAAAACCAAAATATTGAAGACATTACAGGATTTCAAAAGAAGATAATAGTCAAACCAGAATGGGCATCATAATGAGTCGTATTGTCTTCACAGTTGTTGCCTATACTCTCAAACTTGGTAGTATCAAGCAAGACAGAATAGAGGAAAATCAGTCAAAATAAGATGGTGAGAGCAATACAGAGTTTCAAATCAAGTTAATAGGAAATCAAAGTATATCCTTTTTTTTAAATTTTTGCCTTAATTACAAAGATAAAAATAAAAAAGTAAATAATAAAAAAAGGAGATTGAGATAAAAGAGGACATAACAACAAAACAGCACAGGTCAAAACATAACCATTTTAGCAAAATAGTGTTTCACCTCCAGGTATCCCAACATAAAAGTAGTTACCAGAGTGTGTTTTTCCTTGAAATCTTTGAGGATAACTTCGTATACTGTAGCATCAAACACATCAAGACAATGTAAAACCATTCAAGAGAATGACAGTATTACAGGGTATTTAGAACCAACTAACAGAAAATGAACAATGGTTTCTGTATAATCTCCGTGTCTATAAAAGTTTTTGTTTATATTATCACATATAATAAAATCCAATAAGATACAACATGTTAAGACCGATGGAGTCAGAAGAACAAAAGCTTGATGGAACTTCAAAACAAGACATTAAATCAGCACTAGCTATTATGATGTCTTGTTTTCTCGAAAATAGCTGTTCCTACCATCTAATCTTCTCTGCCTTATTAATAAAATGTGGTTTCAGTAAAGAAATGTCAAAATGAAGTGTTTTCCTTCCATCACAAACTCCCAATGCTCCAATTGGAAAAAAACAAATTTCAGGGTGAAATCAACATGCTTGTCCACTAACGTTGTACAAAATGCTGCCATGTGGAGGCCCAGAAATATGCAAAAAATTATTTCCAGTGGAAGAGCCACTGATTTAATGCAACTTATAATCTACAAGATGCAAAGTATCAGGTTAACATCCTCCCCTTTGAGAGCCACATCTTTAAGGACCACAATTCTTAGAATGACATAATTTCCAGAAAAATTTTAAAAACTTGAAATGTAAATGAGTAGTTCATGCCACTCTGCTGACTTCGCTTGCTTAGTGAGAAGCTAACCTGACACGTTAATGGTTCTCAAACTGGAACACGTTTGTATCAATCCCGATCCTCCAGCTCTAGGACTTGAGAATCCCCTGCTCTGGGAGGAGGCCTGGGAACCTGAACTTCTACCAAATTCCCAGGATTCCAGTGCAGCTTGTATGAGAACCATCAGCGTTCGAGAAACCACAGAGCTTGGAGTAACAGAAAGAGCAATTATTCCTCAAATTAAAAAACGAATCCATGTTCTGTTTCTTTGTATAATCTCATAAATTTTCAGACATTCTATGAGATTCTGGTAAAACTATGAAGGATGACACATTAAAAACTGGCTCAATTTCTTCAGTTGTGCAAATAGGTGGATCAAAAATACTCTCTAGTTCTTAGCATTGAAAAGAATCTCTGTATGAAGAAGCCGACAATTTTCCCACATCATACTGCATCCTGTCATCTGGTCTGAGGAAAAGTTTGCATTGAGGTTTTATTCCTTAAAGCCACATGGGCATGTCCAGTGGAAAGACAGCAAAGTCAGGAAATCCCCTCCACACTGTTCCCAACACAAGCGAGTCAGGAGAGTAAGCTAACAGTGTCAAGGGAGGGGCCCTGTTTCCCGGAAAGAGGGAGTTAACCTCAGAATCAAGCGGGACCGGGTCTCCGCCTTCAGAGCATCTCAGTGTGGATGCTGTCTTTGCATCCACACCTTCATCTCAAAAAATTTGGTGCCCGCCTGGCTTGGCCACTGAGGAAACTCTATGGGGAGCCGGGCTCACTAAAAGTCTATGGGAAAGAATGATCTTTCAGTTTGCAGGTTATTAATAAGGAGTTTTAAACTGGACAACGAAGGAGAGAAGACTTGAGTCCCCACAACACACTCTCTGCATCCTCAGGGGTCCTTGTTCTGTGAAGCATGGGCACTGAAGGCAATAGGACACTAGGTCTCTTCTTTACTGGTCACACAGGCAGGTGACTTGGGCAGTGGCCACCAGGGGGCGGATCCAGAGTAGAGGGCAGAGATTGCTGTTGCTTGGTGGCAAAGTTAACAAATACCTAAAAGCAACAAAGCAAACAGATAGAACATCTAAGAACACTCAGTCTTTGGGTCCAGCTATCAGAAGGAGAGAGATTGTCTCTGATCAATGGGCCCCACCAGTCCTGGAAGGCAAAAATCAAACCTTCATACACTGTCCTCTCCACCACCACCGTGAGCATGTCTTTTCATTTAAGACAGTACTCCAGGAAGGGCAAGTACCCCTGGGCAATTAATAAACCAACCGGAAAGTCTCAGTAACTTACACATGGCTTCAGAAGAATCCAGGATATAATTTTATACTTCCAGAACTCTTAGTAAAGCAAAAAGTTTTTGTTCTCCCCAAAGTTAGCTACATCATTCACTTTGGGCAGAGTCTAACTAGTCATTTGGGGACTGGGTAAAGTGGCAAAGATGGAATGAACATGACATGATTTAACTTCCTGAATGCCCATAAGTATGTGCATAATTGTATAACATTACATATATAAACCGATATCCAATATTCACATATTAAAGATAGTCAACAGTTGTGGGGGAGGGTATACAAGAAACACACCTCCTAACACGCCACGCTTACCGGAAGGCTGTAAAACAGAACAAGAGTAATAAAGGAAAAGGCAAGCTGAAAGTGAAACCTGGCTAATTCTGAATTCTGCTGGGTTTGGGCCTGTGAGGTCCCACCTTGAGACCTGCCCAGTCCCTCCGGGGGCAGTACCTGTTCCAGAGTGGTCTCACTAACGGAATAGTGCTGGATATGTAAGGTGGTCTTATTGCTCTCCAGAATGCTGAACAAGTCAGCTAGACGCGCCAAACTTCTGGGCACATGGTATTCCAACAAATTAAGGCGCTGGCCCTAAAGACAAAAACAAAAAGGAAACAAAGAAGCACGCAGTTAGAAATCACTCAGCAGGGCTGATCTCACAGCTTCCATTTTCTGAATAAATTCAGATAATTGTGTCTCAAACCACACCCAGCAGCCCAAGGAGATATGTAGGTGAGCTCTGGGAGTGCCCAGTGAATGCCTGCCAGCGACACTGAGCCTCGAAGCAGTTTTAATAAGCGGTGCTTACCTGGTTTAAAAGAAAAAAGAGTAAATAGTGATCCAAAAGGTACAACAGATACTGTGAAAGAGAAAGAGGAAGAAACTGCTCACAAGGAAAGAACAACTGGGATGAGGGCAAGGAAAAAAGAAAGAAAGAAAAAGATCTCTGTTAGTTCTCTGTACTTTCATTGTTTAACCATTTTTCATGCCTGGAGGTAAAGTAGAATATTAGCGTTACCTTAAACTGGATTCCTAGAGTGTCATTTCATGCCTGCATTTTATAATCTGAGCAACTACTCTGAAGATGACAATATGCAATATATTAACCTTCGTTAATCTCCTATTATGTTGTTTCAAAATTCTGTGTCAACATTTTTATTCTTTTTTCATTTTAAAATTTAAAAAAGAAAACAGTCCTGCTCCTCTGCACTCCCGCAGTGACAGGCGGGCTCTCTGAGGGTCCGAAATGCCCCCAGAGGTCCTAGAAGAGACAGTCAGGGTGGCATTGCTGAGCGCCCTGCCACACATCACGGCAGGAGCTGAGTTCTCTGCAGGCATCATCGCTAGCTGAGCACCTCTTCCCATGGAAGCTGATGGAAAATGGAAGTTTCTGTTGTTCAGGATTGTTTTTAACATGGTGTGGGGGGTGAGTGAGCATTCTGCACGCACCCCTCTTCCATGACAGGATCGCACCAGACAATTGTTGAAACTAACAGGGAAAAGTTACTTTGGATTACAGCCTGCTGAACATTATGGTAAGTCAGGGTCCTACAGCTACACAGAAGAACTGTGGCCAGAGCTTCTTGGAGCTTGACGTGCAGAGGAGCCAGGGGTCACCTTGCTAAAGTGCAGTGGATTTCAGTGCTTCAGAGCCTGAGTTTCTGCAGGTCTACACCTACGGGAGGTGTGGAAGTCACTTCCGGTCCGGCGCTCACACTTGATCACACCAGTGGGAAAAGAGTGTCCCAAGCTCAGGGCTCTTCTTGTGAAATAACGCTCAGACTTCCAAGCCCATAAACCTGGGTGAAGGTATGGAAGAAACCAACTTTTGCAATTTTCTGACCTGGCTAAGTGGGCACTGCACGCATTGTTAAGAAGCTGAACTCATGATCCTGGTCTCTCGGGCAATCCCGCAAGCAGCCAGGTGGGCTCACATCCTGCAGGGTGATCAGGCAGCACCAGCTCTCTGTGCTCCATTGGATAGGTTGGGTGATACCACCAGTTCTTCATAAAGAAGCCAAGATGGCCACTGGCATCTTATGACAGAATGGAATGAAAACAGAAAAAAGCGAAGCCCAGTGTGGTAGCTCAGGCTTGTAACTCCAGTGTGCTGAGAAGCAGAGGCAGGAGGACTGCAGGTTCAAGCTCAGTCTGGTAATTTAGCAACTCAGAAAAGTCCAGACTTGAAAAATAAAAAAGGGCTAGGGATACAGTCCAGTGTGAAGGCCCTGAATTCAATATGCAGGGCCACAAAAAACTAATTAACTAATTAATCAAAACAGGACAAGTACACTCACAAGATGTTCTCAGCTAACAGCCAAGAGGTAGAGTAGAATATCAGCATTACCTTAAACTGGATTCCTGGAAAGTGGAGCTTCAAGCAGTCAGAAATAGTGCTAGGTTGATTTTCTTCCTTACTGAGCCAAATTTTGACCGTATAACCATCACCAAACCTGAGAAACAAGTCAAATAAAAACAGGGTCATTATTACACTTCCCTGAGGTGGGCAAACTGTGAGTCTATTTTCATGCCGAGGCAGAAAAAGGCAGTAACTACGCCAAGTGGTCGGGAGGTTTTGCGATCTCACAATGGTAATGGGAGCAATTAATCCCAAATCAGACAGCTGCTGTGGCCTGCACACACTGCCACAGGCACTGAGACAGTTAAAAGGGGTTCAGCAAGCCTGGAGTCCACAGCTTGGACACAGGAGAAAGTGAAGATGCAGCCTGGGACAGAAAGCCAAGTGCAGAGGAGGAGGAGGTCAAAGGCCTGGCTGGAAAGTGGTCCTGGAATGTGACACTGCTGGCCTCACTGCTGCCAGGTCCCGAGAATTAATGTGGGGCTGGGAGAAGACAAGGGAGAGGGTTCCCAGTTTACTCAGGCACGTTCCACAGCTCCTGACCCGGGGTCCTGTGGTCCCACCTCCTGCCTTGACTTCAGGCTGTCAGATGTCATCTCCTGAGGTCTGTGAGTGGCCCAGCTGGGTCCCACCCTTCAGGGACAACATGAGAAGCTGTTGGAGCTATGCACAAGCATGCAAGGAGAGGAAAAGATCTTGCTCAGCTATCTCTAAAGAGGCGTAAAGGCCAGCAGGCTGGCTTGGGTCAGAGGAGAGGATTCAGTCATTGCTCGTGTCCTCCCCAGCAGTGGCATTGTCACCACTGATCACTCCACTCCACCTTCCCTAAACCCTCCCAAGAATGGGGTCATCTCAGTGTCCCATGTTACAAAAGGTCTGAGCTGGGAGATGGGTAAGAGGCTCGGGGTGAAGGTGCACCCTTCTGAGAGCCCCTCATGGTTCCTGGCTGTGGAATCAGCCACAGTGGACATTCCTGGGCAGGGATGTCCTTCTGCCTCATCGTTCCTAGTGATTCTGAAGATGCGACAGCAGATCCCACCCGCCTGAGCTGGAAGTTGTCTCTCCCCTTTGAGGATGTGTGGTCCAGGCAGTCAGAGAAAGTTTCCAATCTCAGTTGCTCCTTTGGAAAATGAGGACGATGACAGCAACCACCAAGAAGGTGATGAAGAGAAGCAATATTAAACTTTGCACTGAGCTACATCCTCTTGCATAAAACAGTCCATAGGATACCGAAAAATGGTTTCTTCAGATAGGCTGGTTCAGTTTAGCAGGAAAGTTTAAGAGCCCCATAAGGACAGACAGATGAAGCTAAGCCCTCACGGGGTCTGGCAACGTCCAGCTCCACAAGCACCATGAGCCCCAGATGACAGCCCTCACAGGAAACGGCTACAAAATGGGCCCTTTTCTTAAACCAATAAATCAAAACCTGATCATCAAAGGCAACAGCATTCCTGTGGTCTGAGTTCCCATCTATTCTGGATGTTAGCAGTTCCAGAGCAGAGGAAAATTTAACAAAAAGAAAAATTTCCAGCCTCCTCTAACCAGTGCTGGCACATCAGACATATGCAGACATCACCCTGTCCTCAGGTCACCATCTCCTGGAGAGGCAGTGGGATCTGAAGTAGTCACTGTCATCCTTCTAGTTGTCCTCTGAGCCCAGGAATGTAATTAGGAAGAAGCCATGGCAGTCTACTTTCCGGTGAGGTGCCACCTCATCTCAGCGGGGTGAGAGGCAGGCAGAAACTGCCCAGGGCCAGCTCCCCCATACACCACTGCCTGTGGTGGCAGACACATGGTGGGAACTTTGCAAGAGAGATGCTGGGGAGACAGCTGGGAAGAGATCTCCCATGATCACAACCTCTCCTAGCCCTGTGCCTGGGAGTTGGCCCTGTGAAGGAGCTTGAATTTGACTAGAATGACCTGTAAGAAAATTAATGCTAATGGTATTGTTGCAAACACCAACGGAACAATCAACAATTGGTAAATCTTAACAGGGGTACAGATAACAAACCTGCAGCCACCAGGGAACTCAGCAACTTTGAAATGAATGGAAGTAAAGACAGCATTCCACAGTGAATACAGTCAACAAAAGCTTTCATATACAGCAATAATGCTTCTACAGAAACATAACAAAGCTCACGAAATAGTTACCTAAACGTATTCCTTACGAGACCCCCAAAACAGAAGCCAGCCAGACCTAAAGCAAAGAGAAGTAAACAAAACTAGGATGGAAATTAGTAAGATCAGGGATTTACAAAACCAGAAAGAAAATTAATGAAATTAAAGCTGGCTATGGAATCTGGTGTACCACATGGAAGAGTTATGAAACAAAACAGTGACAGACATTTAGTTTTACTGACCAAGAATAAAAGAGAAGGGACTCACACCGCTGGAGCCAGAAACAAAAGCAGGATCAGGGTCACTGATCTCAGAGGAATAAGCCCCCTGAATGATTCACCAGTGAATCCTGCTGAACAACTTGGGAAATAATACAAATCTTCACAGACTCTGTAGCCTCAGGAGAGACACTTCCCGGTCACTCTATGTGGTCAGTTTCACTACGTTAATAAAACCAGCCAAAACATCACAAGGAAAAATAAGTCAAAAGGAGGAAAGTCCTGTACAGGGATATCTCTTAAGAGTATGAACACCCTCAACAAATACTAGCCAATCCCGCAACATTAAAAACTATACATCATAACTGAGGTTCACTTTAGCTTGGTTAATTATCCAAAATATCACCATAAATATAATTCCCAATGGCAGATTCTGTATAAAAATTTTGCCCCAATCCACAGTTTTGCTGCCCAAGGGTCCGTTACACAAAGTCAACTGCAGTATGGAAATATTAAATGGAAACCTCTAGAAATAAAAAGTTTGTATGTTTTAAACACTTTTATTATAATGATATTAGAGGTATTCTATTCTGTTATTCATCATTGTTATTAACCTGTACTGTGCCCTTTATAAACCATTACAGGCATGGCTGTATAAGATATAGTACACGGGGCCTGGTGCTACCTGTGGGCCCCAGTGCTCATGGCTCTTTCCAGACTGGCGGTGCTTTCTTAAGTACACACAGTCTGCCACGGCCTCCTCAGCCCTGACCAGAAATCCTGGCTGAGCAATGGGGTAGGAAGGAAATAGAAGGCGTCCAGATGGAAAGGAACAACGCTGCCCTCTGTACAGCGCACCTGACTGCCTGCACAGAAAGCCTAAGAGATACGATAAGGACTAGAACTAACAGCCCAGCTTCAGCAAGGCTGGGATACCACAGTCAGTACACAAAGGGAACTGTATTTCTGTACACCTACAATGAAAACTCCAACAATAAGATTAAGAAAATAATTCCTTTCCCACTAGATAAATGGCATAAAATGATAGTGTTAAAGTTATGAAAGATGTGTGAAACCTGTGCTCTGTAAATTTTAAAAATTTCATAGCATCCCATATGACCCAGAAACTTCAGTCCCCTGTATGCATGCAAAAGCAGTGAAGACACAGGACTACATAAAAGGTCGTACATGGATGTTTATAGGCAAGTTATTTCCAATAATCAGCTGCCTGTGCATGGATAAGTGAAATGGACAACATAGAGCCACCGAAAGGCACAAAGTACGGACAGATGCTACAGTGTTTGGTTGGCTTGTGTTTTGGGGATTTCGTAAGGAATATGGGACCATACGGGGCGACAGGAGGCCTCGGGATGCTTTCATTCACGTGAAACACTGGTGAGAGAAAAGTCTATGGAGCCAGAAAGTGGCTTTACACTGACTTAGGCCCGGGAGGTGAGAGGGCACAGGAGTGACAGCTGAAGAGACAAAGTTTCTTTCCAACGCGGTGCGAACGCTCTACAAGTTAACTGCCCAGGTGGTTGCACGCATTTGTCAGCATAGTAAGATCTGCTGGATTATCTATCTGTCTGTAGACTAAAACCCACGCAACCACATAGTTCCCATAGGTGAGCTGCAGGATGTGGAAAAGGCATCACAATAAAGCTGTTAAAAGGCAAAGGGAAAAAAGCTGCCCATAGTTTCAAACTCAGGGACAAGAAGCTTGGAGGTTGGCAGGTTGCCACTCCTACCGGAGTTCCTCACTTCCTCTGATGCTCATGCTCTCGGCATGAACCCATGGCTACTCTCCACAGCAGAAGGGGCAGCATGCCTGCTTTTCCTTTTGGGGGACAGCTGTGTGATTTGATTTGGTGGAGGACCGCTGGCAGGTAGGACGTAACCAGAACCTTGAATGCTATCTGTGCGCATGGACCCGGCCATCCTTGTGCTGGGATCTTCCTAGCCCCAGAAGATACTGAGACACAGCAGGGCTTGGGGGCAGAGCCTTAGGCTAGCCCAGCCCTACCTGACCAGCCCAGCCCAAACCCCCAACACCTGCAAGTCTTGAGGGGAGGGTGAATGACAATCATCTCAAGACAGTAAGTTTGTAAGACTTTGAAGCACTTCTGTGCCAAACTTTGACCAAGGTAGAGGCATTTTTATCCCTTTTTAAAAATGAAACCAAACATCAAATTTGTGAAATGCTTTTAAACTATGAAACAAAGAAATGTTAACCACTGATGAAGCTTTATGCAAATAAACTCTAGGCTAATTCATTGGATCCAGAGCAAAAACACCTCCCCAGCCCCACTTCTCCTTCCTTCATAACCTGAAATACAGTCCAGACACTCAGAAGTCCACTTCCGAGTCTGAGCTGTGTCTCTCTGTGCGAAGGCCATGTTTACAGTCAGAAACTGGAATTCTACAGAGATAACTGCCTTTCAGAGCAGTGACTTGGGCCGGCTGCACTGCACATTAATCCTTGGCAGGTCTGGGAGCATCCACTCCCAATGTGGTTTTTCAAGGGTAAAGGTGGCAGCAGAACAGAGCCCAGGCTTGCAGCTGGGCTGAATCTCACACCTGAACGTCTGTGTGAATGGAGACCCTGAGGGCAGACAAAGCCCTGTTTCCAGAGGCAGCAGGGGACAGCAGGGAATGCAGACTGCTTTGTGATCAAGCAAGCTTTCCTCTCATTAGCAGTGAATAGGACCTGAACATGAGTCTCTATCAGAGGGGTCAGTTTCTGTAGGTGTCCTCTAAGTTAGACAGAACCCAGGGCATCTGCGGGTGGGTCTTTTAATATACAGTCAAGCAACCCGAGAAAGGCTTCCCTTCAGCAAATGCCTGCTATATGCTGGCGGCACTGCAGGCATTCACTGAGTAAATTCTGGAGAAGGATCTTGCAGCTTTCCCTAGTAAGCACACATGACCTAGCTCAAAGCAGTACTCTGTCCTTTGATCAGAACAGGTTAGGTCCACGGAGATGACTGTAGGGTTAGGAAAAGACTAAGAAGCTTAGAGGGAAGACATGGAGAGTCCAAATTGTGTGCAACAGTAACTCAGTGGGCAGGGTCTCTGCACAGTGGAGTAATTTATGTCACCAGGGGTAAAAGAGACACTGCATGTAAACATTTGTGGAATATTCTGTGTTAAGTGGGGTTTACTGCATACAGTTAGTGCTCTTTGCCAACTGCAGAATTCTTAGACACTGGTGCAAAGTTGTGATTAATTCAGCTTCTCCATCCCCAGGTGAGTGGGAGGCAGAAATCACCCTGCCTTTGGGTCTCTTCTCTCTTTTCCTGCCTCCCACCATAGTGGAAAGCACACAGTGAAGAATCCCACGGGCCTTTCTTCATTATGAATGATCCCAGCAGCCCCCAGTTCCACCCATCAGCCCTCTAGTTCTTTCCAGTACCTCCCATTCTTCCCAGCAGCCCCCAGTTCCACTCAGCAGCCCTCTAGTTCCTCCCAGCAGCCCCTGGTTCCTCCTGATGCTCACAGCCCCTTTTGTGTTCTCTACCCCTCCAACATTTCCATTTCCACAATGACCATCCTCTTTCCAAGTTCCAAGCCGCAGGCTCTTTCTCTTCTTCAGTTCCAGATTATTCAGTTGCAAAGTTATAATTTTTGCCCAATGCCCCCTGCATACACACTGCTTTCTCTATGTCCCTTCCAGTATCTGGGGCTTTAGTTTTGTCTCATTTATTGTCCAATTACAGAACAAAAACACCTGCTAGGAAATCCACACTTCCTTCTCTCCTTGTTTGTGCATTTTTTTACCCTAAAATTATAAGCTCCAATTTTGAGAATTAATCCGTTAAGTTATGGTAAAGGCCCCACTAGTCAACTTCCACCCCACTGTAGTAAAGCTGTTCTTAAGCAGGACTTCATTATCTTTGCTATACTTCTCTCTCTAATGCAATCACAGCTAATGCATAGTCTTGGTTTAAATGCTTTTCTTGTCCAGAAAACCACTGGGCCAATCCTTTCCCTAAGACCTGGGTGTGCATATTCTCTTGTCCTAATTCCCTGTCCCATGTGCTTTACAGGTTTCTTTGGGCTCTTCCAGTCTTCCTGCTATAATTTTTGATTTGTGCATCTAGCCAAGTTCTTGCAGGTCCCACGCTGTATTCACCACTCAAACCCTGGCATTCCATGAGCATTTGGTGAGTTTGCTGATGTAAACAAGTACACCAGGCAGCAGCATCACAGCTGCTTCCAGCCTCTTAGAATGGTGACCACAGCACTGCGTGTGTACGTGGGTGTGTGCCTGGCTCCAGTTCTACCACTATTTGTTGAGATGAGGAGTTATGTCTTCATCATCTTGAGCAAAAGTAGTGAAAAGTGGGACCCTGTGTCCTGGAATCCTGATACAGGTTTGAGGCCCCATGAGAAAACTCATCCATTTAAAAATGATGCCATCTCCAGCACTTCTCTTCCCCATCTTCCCAGTTGGTGAGAAGTACTCTTCTTATTTTCAAGAGAAAACACAAAACTAAGAAATGAAAGCAGTGTTTCCCTTTGGTTAAGTGACAGCTCTCAGGGACACTGCTCATGATCTGAATTTCCAAGACCACAGGCAACCAACCAATATCCCCAGCATGAGCAGGGATGAGAATCTAAATCTCTTTCCAGGTAATTATGTCAGAACAGCATTAATTTTGTTCCTGCTACACCATGTTGGGAAAACAAACGAGATGACAAATTACACACATCAGCTGGGGTGGAGGCATCCTGAGGATTGGGAGCTCAGTCAACAGCTCACGTGCTCTCTCAATAAAACTATTTCTAAGGCAGAGAATTAATTCAGGGGTGAGCAGCAGCAAGATAATTATATGATGCTTTGAAACAAAGTACATTGCTGAAAACAGCACGAGGTAATGGGTCGTTCCACAGCTCCACCTGGTGTGACCACATCCAAATGCCTCCACCTCACCTGAGAAAACTACATAACACATGGAGTCATCCTTCGATTTTCAAATGAGTGAGTCTATTATTGATGATGTCATCTTAATCTAAGCCCATGTTTACAGTGCTGTGTTGGAGAAGTATTAAATCAAAGCTGTCACAGGGAAGCAGATGGTGTCACATAGGGTGACATATTAATTTGCAGCTATTCCAGACTCCCGTAACATGGGAGTGCAAACAGCATTAGTCTTCTTTTCAGTTTTCAGGGAAAAAAATCCACCAAAGAAACCCCTGTAGATGAGATTTAATGTTTTAAGTTAAATGGTAAATCACATCTATGATGGCATCCTTTGAAATGTACTCCATTTTTATTAATTCCCCCACATGTTCATGCTTGACAACTCACAGAAATCAAAATAATAATAATTTTAAGGTTTTCCCTTAGATCTTTTAAAGCTTTGTTCTGCTGGTCAATATGGAGTCTTTGTAAAAACTTCTTCCTCAAGTCAGACAATCACCTGGCACACTTCAAACAGGAAGCTGTGAGTATCCGAGGCTGCTTCATCTTCACTTCCTCGGAGCTCTCTGTCCCGTCTCCTGCATCAGCTGCACTGATCAAGGTGTCCCAGCTACCCCTCTGGTCCCAGGGCCTGCACCTGCACCTTCTGACTGGTCCAAACCATCCCCAAAGCAACTTTAGTTATGCTACTGCACCAAACTGTGATTTGACTGGAAACACTTCCACCACAGGAAGCTCACCTACCGGTCTTTGATGTGCTGTGGGGAGCCAAGACACTGGAAGCTGCCGTCCACCATGATGGCCAGTCTAGTGCAGAGTGCCTCACATTCTTCCATGCTGGGAGGAGAGGAGACACAGGAAGTGAGCCACAGCCGGAGGGTGGGACACGGGGTGCAAGTTTGAGAAATTAAAAGTGGGCAAACTGTGAGTTTTTAATATAAAACTTCATGGAAGTCAAATAAAACGCTTCTAAAAGTCATAACTTTATTTAGGTGTCTCCAGATGTCCCCACAGCCTCACTCAGGGAGAGGGGGGTTTGCTCAGAAGTGGCTGGATCTGGGTGTGGCAACACTGCATCAGTCTTCTTATTGACTTAGGATCCCCCTAATCCTGGTAGCCTGGATGCAACATAAAGGAACAGACAGATGCTGTTAAGGGTGCTTGGTGCTGTTCTGCCTACCATGGCTCCCTGCCTTGGAGCCAGTTGATTACGGGTAGAACCTCTACAAACTGCGAGCCAAAATAAACCTTTCCTCCATTAGCTTTAAGTGTTTTGTCTCAGCAACAAGAAAAGTAAGGCAGTGTTCAATTACACAAGGAAAAATTATTAGAATTTCCATGCACCAGGAAGACCTGTAATAAAATATGCAGGTGAGGACTATTTAGCAACAGGACAAAAATACAAAGAAAGAAAGAAAGATCTTAACAAAACAGTAAATACTTTATCATAAAAACAATAAAACTTTACCAACAAACGTAATTGAAACCTTGAATCAAACAGGAGGAAAATTGTGAATTTTCAAAATAGAAAAACAGAATATAAAAATTAGTATAATGTAAAATAACATCAGCATACTATCATTATAAATGTAAAATGTAATATTAGTATAAGTATAAAAATAGTGTACACATAAATTCATTTGTAAAATATGTTATATTTGAATAAAGCTTACAGTTATATAAAACAATGCTATAATAATGTTTTAATTTCAAATTATAATTCAAATTATATACTAAATATTATTTGAATATAGAATATCTTATAAAAAATTATAATTCATGACATCATTGTAATAATATGAGTCTTAAGTTATAATAACACAAGTATGGCATAATATCCATGAAAATTTTACAACCCCATGAGAAAATTTGAAAGTAATTATAAAGCCTGGCTTTAAACTTATTTAGTATGAGGAAGAAGAGCATTGAGCATCATGTGGGAAGAGCGCCCCACAAACACTGACATTGGTTACACCTCAAAAATAATCCAAAGTAGGAATGCACCAAACAGTCATGAGGCCAAAGTGCTGGACCCAGAGACAGCCCAGAGTGCACAGCTGATGCCGTCAGAACTTAAGTGACTTTGTGGTGGGAACAAATCTCAGAAACCTGAAAGGACATGTTTGATACACAGGTGATGCAAGACTCCAAGCTCCTAATAAGGGAGCTCAAACACAGTAAGCTGATATTTAAAATATTAGAACAGAGCCAGGGCTGCGATTTAGCACTGGAGTACTGACCTCCCATTTATGAAGCATAGGATCCCATCCCAGTGAACAGAGACAAAAGAATTTAAAAAGAACAAAACCTGAAGGTAGAGGCTGACGCCCTCCACACAGTCACCAGGTGGAAGTCACCCATGTTAGTTTACAGATGAGACAGTGTCACTCTGAAGAACATGAGGGGCAAATAAGGAGTGTGAAGACTCAAAGACCTGTGTAGAGCTAAAAACTTTAAGCCTAATTAAAACTCAATAGATCTTAAAACTACTTTTTAGCCAGAAGGATGCTGACAATGTGTGCTTTTCTTTGGTGAAAAGGAAACTGTCTTTCTCCTGACACCGTGTCACGTGCCAACAGTGAGATCTCAGATCAGTAAAACACTCAGCCATTAAAGGTGTTTTCTCAGTCATCGTGAGTGGCTCATCTCCCACACCAGCGGTGGGAGCCCATGGCTCGCCTGCCTCAGCGGGCATGCGGAGCCCTCTCTGTGGGCATAGGAGCCGCACTACCCGCCAGGTTGTCACAAGCCATCGGCATGCACACACAATGTACGCTTTACCTCTCAATAAAAACCTGTTTGTATCACGGAAAATTCTGTCACTGCATCTTTAAGACAAAAGATGTCAGTGTGTGAGTTTTCTTCTCCAAACTAAAAGCTCAGTGCTCAGGTTCCATTGCAGGGTTGGCAGTTTGCCATAAATAACTGGGTGTGGGGGTACAGTTTGAGCACTCAGTCTCCGAAGGCTTCCGCGTCACTCTGCTATGCTTGTGCCGGGAGTAAAACTTGGTGTAACTTTTGGAAAGTCATTCTGGCAGCAGTTGCTCATCTAGAAACTTGTCCTAGGAAACATGAAATATGAAAGTATAAAACTTATTCGTAATAATAAAAATGTGGGTATGGGAAAATTTTCCACAGGAGGGTAATGTGGAACTCCTGAGTGCAAGAGTCTAGCCCATGTGTGAGCTTTTACAGGCCAAGCTCCCAGCCTACCCACTGTGTGCAATGAAGTTCATACTCTGGCAACAGCAAACTGACAACCAGCATTAGGGAAACTCAAGTGTGTGTGGGAAAATTTCCCAGGAAGAAACACATCAATGTCAGTATCTGAAACGTGAAATAACTGTGGTTTTCTTCTTTTTCACCATTCTGCTTGGTCCGAATTCTCAGCAGGAAGTGTGTGCTCTGTTGGTTGCTGGGTCATGGTCATGACATGGTCTGCAGGCGGGGTGATGGGGTCGCGGGAGGAGATCTTACTTCTGAATCTTCCTTGTGGCTGGAAGTGGGTGTGCGGGCAGCAGCATCACGGGACGCATGGCTCTAGGCCATCTTCACAGAGAGAGGCCCCTTGCCCTGACTTCCCTTGAGCTGTGATGCAGAGCAGAGCCTGTAAGTCAACCTCCACCATGAGGATGAGACAATTTTGGGCAGGAAGTGACAGGGAAAAGGGAGCCTGGGGGAGCCCAGCCCGGCAGTGCCAACTGTTAAGTGAGGCACCATGCTCTGAGCTCTCTCTGCTGGAGTTTAACAGAAGCCTCAGGAGCATGAGCTGTAAACACATCTTCCTGGGCAAACATACACTTCACACATTGCTTTAATCCAGCTGAATGTGGTTTTAGCATTTTTATGGCTGTATTGTGGGGAGACTAGGAAGTCACTTCTGTTCGATTCTCTTAACTATGGTTTGACAATCAGGGGTCAAAATACCTGTCAGTATGAATTAAGGCCTGGGCGCGAATGACTTAGTGATCCCAACCGAGCTGTGATTAACTGCCCAACAATACGCTAGGAGTGTGGGGATGGTAAAGTCCCAGCCTGGACTGCAGAGACAGAAGTTAAGATGATCTGTAGAGAAGAGACGAGAGTACAATGCGTAGCACTGTTCAGCCTCGAAAACAATCACTGGTCAATGGAGTAAATAAATCACCAGGCAAAACATAAATAAGCAAACACCACATTTCCTCTGTGGTAGTGAGATGGATCAGCATGGGAGCAGGGCTGAGCCATGTGGAGACCTCGGGCTGCTGCTGGAATCCTGAACCAGGGGCTGCTAATGAGGAGACGCAGTGTGACCATCCTTGGCCGAACCAGCATCCAGTCCTCTTCGCTATGCAATGTGGGCATAGATCCCCACCCTGGCTTCCAGCCCACGCTTTCCCAAGATGCTCTGGGGTAAGGAATAAGGGGAAAAAGGAGAGGAACTCAAAGTCAAGGGGAAAGGCCTGAGCTGGAAGTCTCTTCTCACCAAAGAATCACTTCAGAACCACAGAACCAGCCACGGGCTTCCCGGTTCTTCATGTACAGTAATCTGGATCCTTGTATTGCTTGAATAGCGACAGATTTATGGAAATAAATTTGTATATATTCATAAGTATATCATTTATGTGAAATCAAATGAATAGGATATAAAAGAGAAGCTGCAGTTGTGCAGGTCTTTCTGTGAACAGTTGACAATAATTACATGTTATTTGACAAACAAAAAGAGTTTTACAGTGGGAACAGGGCCCAGTCCCAGAGCCTGTGCTGGATGCCAAGACTGGTGTCCTCATGCCAGGAAACCAGTGCCAAAGGATGAGTGCAGGGACATGGAAAGTGTCCAGGGCTGGCACGGGAAAATGGGCACTTTCACCAAGCATGGGTACACATCACAGTGAAGTACAAGATTTTCTGAGTTTACCAAAGTTCAGTGTAAAATTTTACCTTCCAAAGAGAAACAGAACAGAATCAGAATATTAGAGAGAGTGCTTCTGAGGGGCTTTCAGAACCTAGAGATACAAAGAATATAAATGCCCAGTTTCCCATTAAAAAATGGCAAAGAAGGAATACAGAGAAACAGGAAAGAAGCCCATTGTTAGTGGGGAAAATCATCAATAGAAATTATCTCTAAGTATTCCTGACACTAGATTAGCAGGAAAAAAACATTCAATGCAACTCTCATAAATGTATCCTAGGAACCAAAGAAAGCCATACAGAAATAATTAAGGGAGAGTTGACAACTTTCAACAAATAGAAATTCTTAAGGAGGAAATGGAAATTCTCAAAAAGGAGCAAAAAGAAAACTTCTCATTGCAAAGCACAACAAATAAAATGACACATTTACTACCATGACTGACACCAGGTGTAAGGTGGCAGAAGGAAGCTTGTCCAGAGCATGCAGGAGATCATGAAAGTCAACCGGCCTCAGAACAGATCAAGTGAGATTGGAAAGAGAGGGGCAGGAACCCACAGAGCTGGCGGTAAGATCAGAGTTCCAACAGCATGTAAGGAAACCACCAAAGGAAGGGGTGACAGAAAGAGCTGCACAGACATTGGAGCAAACCACTGAGCCAATGATTCCCATGAACAAAGAACTCCAGAACGGCTGTTCTGCTGGTCACCCCAACATGCTAACAGGTGATGGTTTCCTCATATTTTCCCTTAGCTTCTTTAAGATACTAGAAGCTGCTGATTGTAATATGTTACTGTTGAAGGACATAAAAAACACAAGACATCTGTAATAGTGGCCTGAAGAAAAGGAGGACACAGAGCAATATGAAGGCAAAGTTACAATATTTCACTAGAACGAAGTAAGAGTCAGTGTGATAAATTAAGGTGGAACCTGTGGTCCCGGGCCAACCACAAAGAAAATGGACCAGTGCGCCATGCCTAAAATGTAAAAATATTACCTTTAAAACTATTTATGTAATATATAAAGGCTGTTAAATAGGAACAGAGACACAAAAAACACAGGAGCCATCAAAAAACAAACAGCAAAATGGAAAATCCAAATCCAATCATGCTTATAATTACATTAAATGCAGAATTCTCTGATTATCTTACTCAAAAGGCAGAGACTGACATCCTGGAGGGGAAGAAAGCCAGATCCAACTACTGTATATACCTGCACCAGAAACTTCCCTTCTATTCAAACACACAGAGTCTCAAAGTAAAAAGATTCAAATACCATACAGACAGGAGCCAAAAGATAGTGTGGGTGGTAACATCCTCACACAAAATAAGAATTTAAAATAAAAAACACCTACTGAGACAAAGAAGGACATGGCATAATGATAAGAAGCAGCAGCATTTGGAAGGTCACAGTTAAGGATGCGGGGTTACCTAACTCCACAGCTTCAAATACAGGGAGCCAGAAGTGACCATAGATTCAGAAGGAAAAGAAAACATTGCTGTGTCACTTGCCGAGCTCAGTCTCCCATTCAGTACTGGACAGAAGACTTTAGCAAAGCACCCCCAAGAGTATGGAATACTCAACGCCCCACCTGGCCTGTCTATGCAGCGTTCCACACAGGACCAGCAAGGCACACACTGCTTCCCACCTCTATGGATGCCCTCAGGACATGCCGCATGCTCCACCAAGCAGGGGGAAAGGAGAGGCCGTGGGCGGGGCAGGCTGCCTCCACTTCCTCGCAGGTGTGGCATGCTGTCACATGTGTCATTTACAGGCATCTTGGTAACTGTCACGCTACAGCAGCAGGGCTGGAGAGTTTGCAAAACCAATGCAAATTTATTGGTTCTCTAGTTTTTCTCAGCACAGAGCAGAGCAGACTGGAAAACTCCTGACAACTTTATAGGGACAGAAATCACAGAGAGCACTGCTTTTGATCACAGCAGAGTTAAATTGAAAATGAACATCAGAAAGAAACCTAGAAAGCCTTCCAAATGGCAGGAAAATAACAATTCTAAATAAAGTATAAGCCACAGAATAAATCACCAAGGAAAGGACAAAACATTTCAAGTGAATGAAATATTTTATAATAGAAGAGAAGAAAAGTCAGCGTCTCTCGAGAACTGGCCATCCTGGAACTTGGAGGCCACCGAGAAATCAGCCAGTCAGCCCTCCTGGTAAGCAGCACAAGCTGCGCCCTGTCCAGGGAGACAAAGGTCAGAGAGCGCCTCCTGTGAATCTACAATGCGGGCTGAGGATCAAACCCCGTACGTGCCCTCCAGCCAAGCAACCCGCTGGTGCAGAGGACAGGCTGAGCTGACAGCAACTGAGGCACATAAAGCACCTAAATGCTTGTGTTGTTGGGTTGATTATGCAGGCCTGGGGCCAGCGGTCTGCGCATCTCTTGGGAGGATGACAGCATGTAATATAGCAAGTATGCAGGATTTCCTTCTGTCTTGTCTTTGAAATTATTGTTCCATTTGCTTTGTCATGATTATTATTGTTGTTATTATTATTATTATTATTATTATTATTATTATTATTATTATTTGCTTTTTTCAGCATTCTCTTTTGGTTGGTTTTATTGTGCTTTGTTTTTGGTTTAACTGTGCTATACCTAACGGAATGGACAACTATTGTGAAGATAACAAGATACCCCATGGGAGCCATTGTTGTTTTCCTGGTATCCTACTTTTAAGTTCTGTACCAGTCCTTCTGCTTTGGTTTAATTGGCTTTCTCTGTCTTGTTTTGTTGGATTTTATTATCTTTAAAGTAAAAAAAAAAAAAGAAAATGTGGAGGACTTACAGTATCCATTTTCAAAACCTTATACAGAAACCCGCTATAACCAAGACTGTGCTACACAGGGAAAAAGAGGAGATTTAGAACTGGGAGTCCAGAAAGCTGTGCTGTTTATAGTCAACTGATTTTTCAACAAAAGCACCATGATAATTCAATGAGGAAAGTGTAGGGTTTTCAAGAACTAGTGCTGAAGTAATTATATAGCCACATTCATAAAAGTGAACTTAGGCTACTCATACTATACACAAAGACAAGCTCAAAGTTTATCAAAGACTTTAAAAAAAATAAACATAAGGTCTCGCTATGTAGCCCAGGCTGGCCTTAATCTTCTGCCATCCTCCTGCCTCTGCCTCGCAAGCACGGGGATTACAGGCATGTTTCACCATGCCCAGCTGTACCAAAGACTTTTTAAGGGCTAAAACTATTTAGAAGAAAACCTAAGAGCATTCCATCACTGGTGATCAAAGAATTCTTAGATATAACAAAAGCACTAGCAAACCATATATCCCTCAAGGGACTTGTGTCTAGACTGTAATTAACACCCAGGGCTACTTATGTTACCTGTACAGAGCCTCTTACAACACCAACTACGTTCTTACCATAAGATCCCACAACCACATCCTTGATGTTTACCTAAAAAGACTGGAAAACATCCATGCAAAAGCCTGTGAGTGGGAGTTTATAAGGGCATTATTCGGATCTGTCAAGACTTAGAAGAAACCCAGCTACCCCTGGGTAAATAACCGTGGTGCATCCGGCCCCCGAAGACTACGTGGTGTTGGAAGGAAATGGGTTATGGGACTGCGATATGGACCAAGGAAGCAATGAAGAGGAGCCACTTGCTCTCCGAAACTGCCCACGGTCCACCTCCAGGCATTGGCACTCTGGACAGGTGAATACCTGGAGCTGGGAACAGAGGCATTGGTTGCAGGGGCTGAGCAGGAAAGAAGGGAAAATCAGTGAGGGCCAGGGAGTGCATGGGATGGCGGTTCGTTGGTGATCACCTGCCATGATGCTTCTCCAGACCTGCAGAGGGTCCAGGGCCAGGACCAGACCCTAATGTCAACTGTGCACTGTGGGTAACAATAACACCTGTGTCCATTAATTACACAGTAGACTACTACTCACCAATTAAAAGGAAGGGATTCCTGATGTATGCTACAACGTGAATAAGTTTGCAAAAAAGAAAAGGACAAGAAGTCACCTACAAAAACAACCCATTACATATTTCCATCAATATAAAATGTCCACAAAATGCAAATCAATGGTTTCCTACGTTTGTTTTGTTTTGGTGTGTATGCGTGTTTGTGTGTGTTTGGAGTATCAGAGATACTGACTATGGCTCTAACTCTTTTTATTTTTATTTGGAGACCAGGTCTTGGTCAGTTGCTAAGTTACCCTCAATGGGCTTGAGCTTGAAGTTCTCCTGCCTCAGCTTCCCAGTGTGCTGAGATCACGTATGTGGTCCAACACGCCTGGATTGGGGTTTTGCATGGAGGAAAATGTGGTAAAGTATCAGATTCTTGATATCCTTGAAATTTTTCTCACCACGCAACTTATTTACCCAGAGGAAAGATTCATGTCTGAAGTTCAGAGCCTTCAGGATTCTCGGTAACCGAGCCCTGGCTCTGGCTGCTCTGGGCCTCTGATGTCTACATCTGTGGCTCTGTGTGGCTGGAATTCTGTGCCTCAGGGTTAAAAACAAACCCGCAGTTGAGAATCCCAGGCACACAGTTAGCTCTGTAGAGGGAAGCATTTGGCCAGACCGAGGCCCCAGAGGACCCCTGGGAGACACCATGGCCAGGGCATGGTCTCAGGACAAGGCTCCTCCACCCTCTGCTAGGACCCAGGCTTTCCCAGCACTGTGCTCTGCTTTCTTACCCACATCCTAGGCTGTAGAAGGGGATGCTACATATGTGATCCAGAGCCACAATGGGGATTTAAACTGAAAACATCCATCATAGTAAATATCTCATCACTGCAAAGCCCTCACTCAGCCCTCCCCCTGGATGCCAGTACACTCATCCCATCGTCCCTGCCAATTTCCACAGCAGCTGTGGCGTCCCCTCTTGTGTCTTTAGTCACACTGTCTGGCTGCCTCCATGTCCTGAACAGGCCTGAAACACATCCCTTTCAAGATTATTTTGAACTTGAAAAAAGTCAGCAGCTGCAGGACTCCAGATCTGGTGAATGAGGCTGACGGGACGCAGGGCCTGGTTTCTGTGAGCTGCGTATGCACTGGATGGCACTCAGCAGCGGCATTCACCGTATATTTGATCACAACCATAACAACCGTAAAGACCCTCAGGACAGAGGACTCCGGAGGTGCCTCGGAAAGCAGCCAGGATGGTGGGATGAGTGCACTGGAAGGAGGTGGAGGGTGGTAAGTGGGGTTCACAGCAATGCATCCTTCAGTGTAGTTAATTCTTTTAAACTCAGACACGCAGCATGTACTGTGATCTCCCTTTGTGCCCACAGGTGAAGGAGCCACTGAGTGGCACTGTGACTGGCCTTGGCCTCCTCCATGTTTGTTGACCTCTGCTCAGCCCCACTCAGAACACAGCCACCCAGTGTGCCGCTCACCTGTGAGAGGTGAGCACTGCGGCGCAGCCCGCCCTGACCTCCTGCAGAATCGTCCGCCACAGGAAGCGCTTGGAGCACGGGTCCATTCCAGAGCTGGGCTCATCCTGGAGGAGACACGTGGTGAGATTTGGTGAACATGCGTGGAAGTACACACTCCACGCCGGGTAGGTCCTCGGAACTGACAGGAATCCCGGCTCTGGCTGCCCAGGGCTCCCCTCCAGTGCTTAACAAAGCTCGGAAGCCTGGTGAACCCTGAGTGGGTGTCTGGCTCCCTGTGCCTCCTTCGGGATGGTGGTCCTAGGGCCCACATCCTGCTCACCTCCTGCACTGTCCAGCAACCAGTACCATGGAGTGGGGGAGGCAGGCACAGGGAGGAGTCTGGGGTCACAGAGCATTTTCATGGGGACCAGCAGGGAGTCCCTTCCTTGGCTAGTACAAAACCACCCCGCAGGCCCTCCTTGATGGCTGGCAGTTGCCTCAGTTTCCCTAGGAGTACCTTTAAGACATGGGGAAAGGGCCCCAAACACAACCAGCACAATGGCAGAACTGTAGGGACACACACAGTCTAAGCCCCAGTAGTCACCACAGGAAGAACAGATGCAGGGCTCACACCTGGCCCCCTTTTGGGCCCAGTCATACTTTTTTTTGTACCAGGCATCAAACTCTCTACCTCATGCTTGCCAGGCAGGCACTTATGTCGCTGAGCTAAATCCCTGGCCCTGTGCCCAGTCTTACACATTTCCCTCCCCGCTGCCCGAGAGCCCCTGAGAGGCTTGGGTATGCAGGCCTGCAGAACAGGTGAGACAGCCTCAGTAGCCTGTGCCCAACTGGCAGGTGAGGTGATCCTTTCCAGGTCAGGACAGACTAGAAAAGGGGACAGATGTGAAGACAGCGAGGAGAGATGTCACGGAGCATGAAAACAGCAGCACACGGAGAAGCAGGACGCCAGCCTCAGAGTGCAGCAGAGTTCCAACCACCGGGCTTGGCAGAGCAGAGATCCAGGAACTGCCCGACACAGAATTCAAAGCCATCATCTGAACCACACTTAGAGAGGTACAGGTGATAGGAGGCAAGAATTACGTGAAATCAGAAAAACGAGGCATTAGCAAAGACAGAAGGCGGGAAAAGACAGCAACCAGAAAGGCTCCAAAGGAGAAAGAAATTACCTAAGAAGAACTCCAGGGCAGGAAAGGCGAGGCACCAAACCAAAAATACAATGGTGCCCACTGCAGAATCACTTGAGAAAATGAAAGAATCTGTGAACTGAAATACCAGTTATACACAATTACTCATTTAGAGAAGAAAAAGAAGAGGAAGCTAAGAAGCAATGAGGAAAGTCTGCAAGATTTCTAAGACACCATCAAGAGAGCTACCTTTTGCGTAGTGGCATTTACAGAGTAAAGGGGCCTCCACACACTGCAGGTGGGAAACTACCTTAGTTTATCTGTTATGGAAAAAAATCACAATTAGAAGTAAAAGCACCATGGACCTGCATTTTCAGGTCAGGGGATGTCTCCCAAGAGTGTGCACTCAGTATGACAAAGAGGCCCCTGCAGGCCCACCATTACTCTGGCACTGTCCATGTTGGCTGATCCATGGAGCCAACCGAAATATCCCCAGGTGGATAAATGATTAATAAAAACACAGCACCATCACACAAATGAACATTAATCAACCATAAAAAATAAAATGCTATCAGTTGATGACACAAAGGAGCCTGGACATTACAAGAAGCAAAATAAATCAGCCACAGAAAGACAAGTACCAAATATTGAACTCCATGTGTACACTGGAATATTATATAGACTTTAAAAAGCAAATTCTGTAGTTTTCAACAACATATACATGAACCTGAAGAACTTGATTTCAATGAGAAATGGGCCAAACATGGGAAGATATCTATTCTCGACCTCATGTGTGAAATCTAAAAACTTCAGGCTTACAGAACGAGAGACTGGTTGTGTAGTAGAGAGTGAACCTGGGATGTGAAGAGACACAGGTCGAAGGGTACAGATCATGTAGGACAAATATGATCTGGAGACTGCACATCTTGCAGAGGGATTTCTATGATCTGAATCATTTGTCCCTTCTAGATCCACACTGGAACTTGACCCTCAGTGTAAGGGTACTGGGCACAAGTGTGGACTTGGGTGGTGACTGTATCATGGAGACTCTCTCCAAACAGACAACAGTAGGTATCCCTACAAAAGGTGCTGATGGAAGGTCTGTCCCATGTTGCCCTCTGACTGCTACCCCATGATGACACAGCATTCCTCCCTCTGAGGGACATGTAGTTCAGGGCGCCTCCGTGGAGAGGTATGAAGACCTTTCTTCCTTCAACTGCTAAACCCAGGGCACCTAGATCTCAGACATCTAGCTTCCAGAACCATGACAACTACATTTCTGTGCGTTGAAAGTCACCTCAACCGTGATCTTCTACTATAGAAGGGCAAATGAACTGCAGGGGACTATGGTTACTGTGGTAGACTAATGGTCCACTTACAACATCAGGGACCTGACTCAGTGTGGTGCTGGGTTTTGTGGCCAACAGCATAAAAGGACAATCAGAGGGAAGTCAGTATGTTGTTGGTTCCCCTGGAGAAGCTTGTCATGTCAGCTTTCCTGATATGAACTCAGCTGTTCTTATCAGAGGAGCTCGAGTCCTTGATGTCACTGAGGATGACTGCAGTTCTCTTCAGGGGAGCTCTGGACCTTACCTTGAGCATCACTTCCTGGCAGATCCCTCAGCCTGGTGGCACAGATCATGCATGCCACTGACACAGACGTTCTGGCTTCCATAACTGACCTGAAGCCTTCCCAGAGCAGATCCATAGAACAGACTTGCAGCATAGGACACTATCTTGGGCTCTAGGTCTTCAGCTGGACTTCTACAGGACATTGCCGTGAAATCCAAGCCCTCTGCTGGAGTCTTTGGGTTAATAGTGCATGGTCAGATCACTTGCATGCTCTGTATTTGAGTTTTTTGGGTGAATATTATAAAGTAAATTATGTGTCCTGTATTGAATCTATTCCCTTGTAAACCTCCACTGTAACACTTAACAACTCAGTGCTGTGCATTTGAAATTTGCTGAAGAAATAGGTTCTGAATATTCTCACCATATACTCGAAAAAGAGAAATGGCCATTAACAAAAGGAAATGATGTGCTAATTAGCCTGATTATAGCAATCATTTTAGAGTAAATATGTTTATTAGAACATTTCACTGTGTGCACTGCATGTATTTAATTTTTATTTGTCAATTATATCTCAATAAAACTGGGGAGGGGGGTTCACTTAAGCTCAGCTCCCCACTGAAATGTGGTTAGGTGTTTTCAAGATCAGTCCTCACCATCGGAATAAGGCCCCTAGACAGACAAACTGAAGTGGCAAAAGGTTTCATTTATTTAGTGACATCAGATGAGCTAAAATTTCTCGGAACCTGAAGCTTCTCCTTGATCAAGCTCCAAAGCACTTGTTACCCGCAGCCCTGCTGCGAGGAGTCTGCCCAATGGTACCACACATTTCTGAGCTTTTTGCAGCCAAGAAGCACTAAACACATTTTTCTTAAAAGCTTCAGGTCATCAGCTTCTCCCCAAAGGTCCAAGCAGATGGGCAGTGGAGTGGGGAGACAGCTAGCCGGAAAAAAATAAATGCCTGGTCATTTCTGCAAAGGAAGTGATGATGTGAGCTGCCATAGAATGAGTAAATGAGGGGTGTGAGGCGTAGCTCAGCACTGGGTCTGCAGGGATCATTTTACAATTCCCTGAGTGTCCCATGGTGCCAGCTCCTTGAGCAGATCCCATCTCTCCATGGGAAATGTCACAGGCACCACTTTGCCTGGTGCCCTGCATAGGCAGCACGTCCAGGGCCACTCAGGGCTTCTTGTGTGGATATTATGCACTAAACCCTGGGCCCCATGCTCACTGGGGATTTTTCCATGCACTGTTCTCAAAGGTTCCATGACACAGACCTGACAAGCAGGAAATTTTCAGACAGAAGGGACAGAAGCACGGAGTGTGAGAGGTCATGTGCTGCAGAATCACAACCCATGGCTGGGACTCCTGCATCCCCACATGGCCAATACACCAGAGTCCTGGCATCCAGGGAGGAAGAGCAAGGGTAGCGGGATGAAGACACAGGGTCTGTGGGGAGATGAGGGCCCGGTCCCTGACTGGCTACCCCTGTCCACTTCTGCTGGGCCGAGGACAGAGACGCTGCATGGCAGGAAGTGAGCCCCATGTCTAGGCAACCCTTCGGCGCGCCGCCTGCCTGTCCGCGAGAGGCTAATGCTGTGTGCAAACTGCAGAATGGGGCAGATGCTGGTTTCGAGACAGGTTTCTGCAACATCCCTTTATTTGGGACGTTGAAACAGTAAACTTGGAACAAGTAAAAGGAATATTCAGGTGCATTTACAATACACAGCCAGGAAACAGTGAGTTTTTCCCAACTCATGTCTTCAGAAATCCCAAGAACATCAGCAGAAAATGATGCTTCGGTTTTGTTTCTCTGCTTTTTGACTCCCCTTAGGGTGCCAGGCAGAGTAACCCCAGGATGTCTTGATCAGAATCCAGTCCACTTCTTGCTTCAGGGCCGTTATGCTTGGTTAGATCCATTCCTAAAATCCAAGGCTTCTGGTCCTCACTCCAGCTAATGTCTCCATCCCACTAACCTGAGCTGACCATATTTGCAGGTGGATTACAGACTGCCTGCTGCCTCCTGGCACTGCTACTCACCCTCTGCCCCGTGGCTGGACCCCTCTTCCCTCCCTTCCACATTCCAGTGGCAACCAGCTTTACATTGCTGTTACAAATAACTGAAGAAATCAATTTATAAAGAGAGAATATTCATTCTGGCTCCAGTTGGAGCTTCTAGGCCATGATTGGTTGGCCTTGTTGGTTTGCATCTATGGCCAGACACTCATCATGGCTGGGGTAGGTAATGGAGAAAAATTGCTCACTTCATGGCCAGGAAGTGAGAAACAGAAAGAGGAAGTGGCCTGCATTTTACAGTCCCCGCCGAGAGCAGACATTCATGGCCCAAAGATTCCACTAGGACCTGCATCTTCAAGATTCCAACACCTCCCAGTAGCACCACATTTGGGGATCAAGCCTTTGTAGGGGGAGGAATATCCAAACGATGGACCCCTGGCACCCATCCTCTTGACTTAGCACAGACCTGTGTCACTATTGCTATTATATCAACAATATCTGCAGGGAGAAAAAGGCTTGAAACTGATATGCTAGAAGAAAAATCATAGATTGAATTTCAGATTAGAGGTGAACTCTAGTACTCTTTTCTAATGCAATTTTAATATTAAAATTTAATTGACTTTTTAATTTGACAAATATAGAATAAATGTGTGATTCCTACATAATTCCAATGATATTTTATACTATGTTTGGTGCATATTGACAAGACACAAGCTTAATAGTTTGTAGAGTCAATGTTATAAGTTCTTGAGTTATTTCCTGGAAGAATTCTGGTAGACTAAAATAAACCATGGAATGGATAAAAAAGATGTGATATTTTTATAGAATAGAGTGTTACTCAGCTAAACTTGAGACTTTCATAGGTAAATGGATGCAAATTGAGATCATACTCATAAGTGAAATAAAATCAGAATTGCTTATATAAATATTGTATTGTTTCTCCAATGTAAATAAACTGAAAGAAGAAATAAAATCCAAAATGTACAATAGATACTGTGAAAATGAAAGGGAAAGAAAGTGTTAGAAAGGAAAGAACAACTAGGATGGGGAAAGAAGGAGGAAAAAAGTTATATATATTACAAGATAGACAAGTATACTACTAACCTCTGTTGGTTCACAAAAAGAACAGTTTGTGCTTCATTATTTGATTATTTGATCATTTTATGCCTAAATCTTGCAATCTGAACTACTTGTAAGATCTTAGTATGTAATATATTCACTAGTGTTCATTTCCTATTATTTCATTTGAAATTCTGTGTTATCATTTTTATTCTTTGTTTGTTGCTATTGTTCTGTTTTCAAAATTAAAAAAGAAAAGAAATGAAGGCAATAAGAACACAATGACAACAAATAAAAATAAAGTATGTTTACAGGTCCACCTGCCACATGGACTCCCCTCGGACAGGGACATTTCTGTGCCATTGCCCTACTCACCAGTAACAGGATGTCCGGTTTGCCCACCAGGGCCAGGGCAGTGGAGAGCTTCCGCTTGGTCCCCCCGCTGTAGGTCGCCACACGCTTGTCCGCATGGGCTTCCAGGTGTAAGCGCCTCACGAGGTCTGCAGCCACCTGGACAAGACAGACCTGGTGAGCCGGCCACAGGTGCCAGGCCTCAGCCCTGACCCCTGCTCCTTCCTTGCACCATCCCTGCCCAGCCTGCACACAGTGGTCAAGCGCAGCTCCTGCTCCCCGCCTTCCCCATGGGGAGAAGCGGAGAATGGACAGGGGCGTTTTCATTCCTGATGGCTCCACAGCACCTGGGGTTGCGAGAGTAGATGGGAAAGAAACAGGATCAGGACTGGGTCTGGACGCACAGCCAGGCTGAGTGAGCAGAGACAGAGGAGGACGAGGTAGGAAATAAAGCCAGAAGGTGAGGGGTCAAACCTGCAGCAAGGAGAGAAAGAGCCAGGGAAGCCTGAGCATCATTGCTAGGACTGAAATGTCTGCTTCAGAGCCAGAAGCCACTGGTCAGTGTCTGTGCTCTCAGGACCTGGATAGGAGACTGGCTGGGCTGGGGGAAGGGCGGGGAAAGGCCCTCTGCTCTCAGCTGTGGGGAAGAGCTTCCTGGAGTCCGGACACTTCGCATAATTTAAAACATTTACAGTTTTACCTCTGTTTTGTGGCCACAGCCATGCCCCTATAGACCTTTTTTTTTCTTTTTTTCTTCCTTCCTTCTTTCTTTTTTTTGGTTAAAAACTATCATACAAACTGATCAAGATAAGACCTGAATCCATTTTTAGGAGCAGAAAGAAAAATTCTCTTGGGTTGTAAACCTGAGTTAATAATTCTGGACCCGAAACACCCACATGAAACACAGTTTTAAGCCAATGCACATGGTTTTTGATAAAAGCAGGGTATCTGGAGCAGGAGCTATGTGGTGATGATGAGGGACTAAGAACCCCAAGAACAGGGGGTGACCACACACTTCCTGCTCAGATTGGTCAGCATGAACTGCTCTAGTGCTTTACTGGGCATGAAAGTCATTTAGAAAATGAACTGAGGGCCGTGAGTACCAGTCTGTGGTCCTCAGCATGAGTGTAAGGAACGCAGCCTTTAAGGCCTCCTACCTTCTGCCTAGGTGAGTTCTCAAGCCCTTTGTCTGTTCTTACTGAAAACAGTCATTTCTCCTAATTTACTTTGTAGGAAACATCTTTCTTCCTGCTCTATTAAGTCCAGTTGTCTCAATTTACATAAACTGAATAAAATGTATTTAATTACATAAAAATACTCAAATAAAATGTTTTGTTCAAAACATGCAAATAAACACAAATGTTCGTGGAGTGTTACATGAGTGAAAAGATATGAACCCAGGCCTGCAGGAGTTAAAGGGTTGACACGGGTGCTAATGGATATTGTCACCTGAATTTTTCTGAGAGACGAACTACAGAGAAGTATGAGACTCAGCCCACAGGATCCACCACACGTAAAGTGAAGGCCAGGAACCAGGGAGGAACCGGTGGTGATTTTTAGGTCCATAAAATTACCAAGTGGGCAGAGAAGGCAGCCTGATGGCACAGCATTGCCTAACATTTACCAGGCCCCGGGCTGCATCTCCAGGACCAAAGAAAAAAACGGAAAACAGCTTCCCAAGAACAGAAAACTGGGAAGTGCGGGTACTGGGGTACTGGAAACTTTCCTTCTTATGCCTTTTGCACAAAGAGTAACCATAAAGGGAAGCTACCAAAGAGACCAAGGTAAGGGCACCCAGTCCTACCGAAAAGCACCCCAGAATAGCAAGAAAAGTTTTAAGTAAATTTGCCAGTTTTGCTTATTTTTTTGAAACCAAGTAATGTACACCATGTTTCTCCAATTTTACCCAAAAAAAAAAAAAAAAAAAAAAAAAAAAAAACACCACAAAGTTAAAGAGGGCAGCCTGCACACTTTGGATCAGTTAACCATAGCAAAGATTCTAGATTACACCAGGACAAATGGACCGGTTTGATCTAATGTTCTCTGAATGTCACATTTTCAGAAAATAACTGAAAATGGCCTAATAAGATGTATTTTGTTTCCATCTCTGCTGCGCTCGGCACTGCTATCAAAATAATAGAAAATGTGATGTCCCAGCAATCAGTGCTGGCAAAATACTACCTTTCCCCAAGTGCCAGAGGGATGGGCTCTCTGTCATTCTCCCAGGGAAAAAAGTGGCATAAGTTACAGAAGCCTCTGTCACTTTTCCTCTCAAAAAGCTCTAAAGTTGCATCGTGTTTAAGGCAAGGGGCAGGGACTCTCTCTGTCTTTATGCTCCCAGAGGCACCTTCACATCTGGTTCACAGCAGGGCTGCCAAGACACGCTTCCCAGGAACCCACGTGCACACACACTTCATTCTGAAGTCAGGTTTTCTGGTAGCTCCTCTGATGTGCATATCAAGACTCTCTGTGAGATCCAAGATCCAAACAAATAGTTTGGTAGGAAAAAGGAGCCGAGGGTTTCAGGGAACACACCGTCTTCTGTCCTTCCCTCTGCTGACCCCTACCAGCTCCTATCCTGTCTTCTAACTTCCAGCAAACCTGCAAAAAGAGACTTCCCCATGAAAGCCACACCTACAAGGAAGGTACTGGGAAGTAGCCCACAGTGGGCATTTTTCCTGGTAGCGATTTGCAAATATTGGTAATAGTAGCATGTAGAGGGGGCTCTCTTTTTCTTCTATCCCAGGGAGGAAAAGTAAAACCCAGCATTCACCAGCTCCCCTCTGTCTAGAAGGGTTGTTGCTTGTCTGGATATAACACTAGCCTGAAATCGCTACCATCAGCTCCCTTATATGCTTTTCCCAGCACACCAGGTCTCACAGCCTCTGTCTCTTGCATCTTCTGGTTACAAACATGACATAAGAAAGGGTTAATCAGATCCAAGATCAAACATGCAGAGTGTATAAAATGGGGCAGTGTGAGTGCTGGAGGAGACGGAATCATGATGTCGACCCGGGGAGCCCAAATGCAAGCCCAATGGCTGGGCATCTTCCCATCTGACTGAGTGTGCAGGAGGGAGAGACACACTGTACAGACTGCCAGCAAGCAGGGCACAGGGGGCTGCAGACTGGAGTGGGCTTGAGGATGGAGGGGCAGAGTGAGAGCACTGGGCACTGAGCTGGGAATGACTTTCCATCCAGCATGGGAGAGTCGCCCCAGATCTCAGGAGACATCAGTGGCTGCCAACATTACCCTAGAAAGAAAGATGGCAGCGTGGAGGAAAAAGCCAACATGAGCTGCAGATGGGTCTTGGGTAATACCTCACACATCCATGCAGGCTCAGAGGAGTGGGGAACAGTGCACTGCAGGACCCAGCTGGAGCCTGTGACAGGAAATGGTGAACTCATGCTCAGGGATAGAGGAGCCATGCAATAACCCCACACAGCGTCCCCTCCCTTGGTTTGCCAGGAGGCTGATGGAGGATTTCATTTTAAACTTGGGGGTCTGAGCCTTGGGGTGGCTTCTCAGCTGAGAATGTGTGCTCCTCACCTGACTTTTCTGGTGTCAGAATCAAACCCTACTGTGTAAGAGCCACGTGAATTAGTCATTGAGCCATCTCCTGCCTCAGGAGATGCGAGTTTCTCCAGTTGGAAAGTGAAGAATGACGCTCCTATTTATTTCCCATGATGGATGTAAAATGCTCCCAGCCATGCATGTTTAGGGATGGATGCTGTCTGAAGTGGGAATCAGTAGCCAGTTTTGTCACACAGCCCTACATGGTGCAGGTCAGTCCTTCAGCTGGGCTCTGGATGCCACCTTTAAGGGACACGGCAAACACAAGATGCTTGAATGTGATGCTGCCCTGGTGATACCTGGCATGCTGTCTAGCTGTGAACAGTGTTTGATAAGAATGGGCTGCCCTCTAAAATAACAGCACAATGGAAATCCATACACTAGTAACATAGCTGCTTGTCCCCAAGCATCCTGTGTGCACATCACTGTGTGTGCGACACAGTGGGGTATGCAGGGCTGACAGCATGGATTTGTTCACGCTAGCTTTGTCCCTGTGACACCAGTGATGGATGGAGCTAGGACAGCACGAGGATGCCTGCGGTGCCAGTGGGAAACAGGGTTCTTAGGTTTCATGGCGGACTCATGGGGTCAGCATTCTCTGTGCCATCCGCAGGTGTCTGTGACAACACTGTGTTTGCTGTTTCGGTTATTTCATTACTGTGTAATTTTACTTTGGGTCACCTTGTGATAAGCTCTCCAGCATACAGGCCTGCACCTGTTTACATGTCAAATATTCCCACAGTTTATAGGGGAACAGGAATTTTCCAGGAACGGACCCACTGCTTTTGGCATCAGCTGGAAGAGGAGCCAATCTCTGAGATGCCTCAGAGAAAGCAACTGGCATTCCTGTCTGCAAAGTCAGGTGCCATTTTATGAAAGAATGTCACTTTCTGTGGTGACCATTGCGATAACTTCTCAGTGGAGCAGTTCAGGAAAGCAGGCTGAGAGACCGGGGGTGCCAAGCCCCGCCACGCTGAGAGGGGCTGCACAGGAGCAATCCGTACTGCGGACAAAAGGACAAAAACACGTGCCTGGGGCCCTGTTCACGCCTAGACAGGTCCTGGAGAAGCCCAGGTTATGAGAAGAAGGATAAAGGAAGGAAGAAGGAGCTTGAGGAAGGGAGGCAAGGACAATATAAAGCTACTGTTGTTTTGATTTAGCCCCTCCCATGGTACTTCCCCACCAGGATATACTTTATACACATTGTATGTGGCAGATGGGGCACACACTGGAACATCCTTCTGGTGAGTTTGTGTGATGCCATGGCTCCTCCCCACAGAGGAGCGAGTGGCTTGGAGTCGCCTCGCATTCCCGTGGCTTCACTCATTCATTCCTTCATTTCTTCTTTTTCTGGAAGCCTGGGGCACTGCCTACCTCAGGGATGCGCTCCCCCGGGATTCCTCGGAGGCTGCAGTAGTAGTGGAGATGGTCCCACGCGGTCAGCAGCTCGTCCAGGGCATCCCGCTGCGGACAGTAGCCGATGAGGACGCCTGCCTGGCCTGCGGAAGCCAGACTCACAGTGGCTCTGCAAAGACACAGAGGGCTGAGGCCGGCTCGCAGGCCAAGGCCAGCCCTGTTCCGCTGGCTCCTCCATGGAAGTCCTCCACACTGTCTCACTCCCCAGGAGCACGGTCGGCTACTAAGAAGGGGTGTCCCAGCACCTGCCACCCCCAAGTGCGCATTTGTGGTCCATGGGCCATTTTGAATTTAAGACAACTGGAAATTAGCAGAGGTGGGGAGACCAGTTTACCCTCTCTGACTGCCTGAAACTAGAACAAAGGTTTCTCTTCTAAATTCCCCTTTGTAAAGATGCCCGTGTAGGAGATGCTGCTTGTGTAGCCCCCAATCCCTGAAAGATTAGGCAGCAGCCACTTGACTGCCTCTCCTCTCCTGCCCCTAACTCACCCAACCCCTCAGCTCTGCTAGCCTAAGATGCCCTAGAAGCCTCCTCCTTCTGCCTGGCCCTGGGTCTTGGTTTCCATGGAAACGCCTGTGCGCTTGAAGGTGATCAAACTGCCTTTCTCCCTAACAAGCCACTTCTCAGTGTAACGTCCAGTGTCAGAGCACAGAACCCAGCAGCGCAGAGGGAAAAAGTTTCTCCCCTCCAGGACCTACCCAGGAGCCCAGCAGGACAAACTTGCTTCCTAAATCAGAGAGCTGAGCATAGCTGCAGGAAAGCCATGGCTTTGAGGTGAGAGGAATAATGTATATATTCAGAGCATACAGTGTTTGAGGGCATGGACTTTTTTTTTTTTTTTTTTTTTTTTGTACGGAGGAGAGAACTCACGCCCTTATGCTTGTGCCACTGAGATAAACCCCAGCCCTGAGGGCATGTACTTAATAAATGGCTGTCACAGTTATTTTTTGACCAAAACAATACATATGAAAAACACATCAATCCCTACAACTGTTACTCAGATTTCTAAACTGAATTGTATTATAACAATAATATATAATTTCTTATTGAACATACAGAAAAGGAGAAGACAAAAGAAAATCTATGGACCCCCTTCTCAGGGAAACCCCATTAATATCTCAGGGTTACTCTTTCAGGAGTCACCTTGGTTCCTGAATAGGGTAAAGGTGATACAAAGTCGCACATATGTAAAGAGAAAACCTTTTTTTTTTTTTTTTTTTTAATTTTAGAGTTAACATAAATATATAGTCATCTTGGAAAATTTAAAACTTTTAAGATGCTATCAAAATTACCTTCATGGTGTTTTCTCATTGTATTGTTCCTATGCATTTTTGCATGGATAAACTATTCTGATCGTGAAGACTCTTAAGGAAGCATACTTCTGGAGGAACAGGTCTAACTCCTCAATAAAGAAACATTTTGTAAGAAAGACTTGTGAGAAACTGGCTGCCACAGTAATTACTAGCATTTCTCAAAGGAAAAAAAGCACAGTGAAGTGTTACTAATTACTGCTTCTAATTTCTAGCAAACACCGCCCAAGAAAAATAAACTACGATACTGTGAAACTACAAAGTAAGTCTTTGGATAAAAATTGAAGTTCACAACATCATTGTGGGTTTTTTTCCCTTCTAAATCACTGGTCTATCTTATTTTATTGTATTGTATTTCGAGGGGTGCTGGGGATCAAACTCATGACCTTGCACTTGCCAGACAGGCAGGCACTGTGACACTGAGCTCTTTTTTATCTTGTAAGAGTTGTACCTGAGACTTTGTAAGAGTTATACCCTAAATATTTTTCTAAACAGTGCCCCCAAGGTTTATTCCAGTCTGATGTTTGCCAAACTAAAGGGAATATGTTTTCTGCTTGGTTGCTTTCAGAAAGTCTATCAATTTGTTTTAAGAGCTTTTTATGTGATACATGCAAAACATACATGCACATGTGTACCTTCTTCAATGATTTTCCTAGATTGTTAAAATTATGAGAATTATTTCCATATATAAAATCAGCTTCATTTTCAATCAACTGCAAGATTTCACTCAATAACTTGTGAGGTCTTTAAAAAATATTTTCTTTTGCTGTGATGAGAAACAAAATATAAATTTCACCATTGTAAAGTGTGTAATTCAGAGCATTCATTATTTTTCCTCAACATGTTGCTATCTGATTCCAGAATGTTTTAAATCCCTAAACAAAACCCCACACTCGCGGATCAGCGGCCCCTCCCATTCTCCCACTGGACCCTGACCCCAGGCCTCCAGTCTCCGTGGCTCTGCTTGTTCTGTGGCCCACACACTGTGGACACAAAGCTGGGACCCTTGGGATTCCTTCTGTGTCCCAACAGGCAAGGAAGTCACGCCCTTGGGTGGCAGCTTGCCAGTGCCCCCTGGGTGACCCTTCCTAAGCCAACCCAGGCAGCAGCACTGTGTCCTCACTGTATTCTCTTCCCTAATAGCTGATGAGCACACAGAAGTCACCGTGGAAGAATCACTATCTTTGTGTCAGGGTGCCCAAACTGATGCTGGGGCACTGTGGCTGCCCCGGTCAGCAGGAGAACCAGGCCATACCCCGCACAGTGCCCCACTTTCCATGCCGGGACACAGATGGGGAAAGTTTAAAAACTTATAAAGGTATGAAAAAGGAAAGAGAGGGAATTTTCAATTAAAAAGCCTTTTTTAAATTAACTAGACTGTGGTTTTCAGAGCTCTTTAGGGTTCACAGGAAAATGTAAAGCAAACATGTGGCATTTCTCCCCCTGCATTGGCACCTCTGCTCTTGCTGCCCTGCCGAGGTGTGAAGTGCTGAGCCCAGACAGAGGAACTGAAGCCCACAGTTCACCTTAGTGCTCACACACTCGGTGATTTGCAGGTTAGTGGAGTGTAACACATGCAAGGTATCAAATATCCACCACCATCGTATGTAAGTAAGAGTCTTCCTGCTTTTGAAAAGTCCCAACACCTCCTCTACCCACCCGGCCCTCGTCCATGCCCAGCCTGGACAGCCACTGATTTCTTCTTGCTCTATACTTTGGCTCTTTCCACAATGCCATGGAGTTGGAATAATACAAGATAGAGCATTTCACATTGGCTTCTTTCACACAGCAACATAAGCTTGAAGTTCCTCCATGGAGCCGTCTAGAGGTGTGTGACCCATAAAACCCTGTGCAGGACTCTCACCTTACAAAGGAGGACATGGGGAGGTGAGCCTTTGCTGGTCATTCAAAAGCACGAAGGTTACAAACAGAACATATTCAAACACAATTCTACACCTAAACACATCGGAGCCAAACTGTCAAAAGCTGAAGACAATGAGACAAAGTTAGAATCAGTGGCAGAAGTGACTCATCTCAGACAAAAGGTCCTCATAAGGCTGTCAGCTGGTTTCTCCTCAGAAACAGACGCCAGAAAGCACAGAGAGGATACCGAGGTGAGGGGGAAAATGCAATCAGGAATTCTCCATCCCACAAAACTGCCATTCAGAATTAAGCAAGAAATTAACAGATAGAAACAGTTTATGGACACAACCATCTTGCCAAAAATGCCAATGGATGCTCTTTAGGCTTCAGTGAAAAGGGACCAGCAGTAATAGGAAGCAGACAGAAGAAGAACAGAAGTTGGAGCAGCAGCACACACACATGCAGAGAGAAGCTCGGATGCTGTTTTGTGTGCAGTTGCTTTTCCAGGCTTATTAGCGCCCAATTTTATAACAGAATAATAGTGAGGCCATGCCAACGGGCACACAGTGTGCAAAGATGTAATCCGTCATGATGATACCATAAGAAGGGCGGAGGTATACAGGGGCATGAAATTAAGGAGGAAATAATCTAAATTACAGGATTTTGAGTCAAAATGTCAATTACAAAATAAACTGATAAACCATAAAGGCAGATATATATAGATAGATGTAATAGAAATTAAAGGTTTTGGCAAACATGTATACAACACAAAGAAGGCAGTGATAGAAAAACAGAGGAATAAAAGACATACAAGACATATAAAGGGGCTGCAGATAGAGCTCAGTGGCACAAGCACCTGCCTAGCAAGCACAAGGTCATGAGCTCAATTCCCAGCACCAAAACTAAATAAATAAATCATAAAGTATGTGTAAGATTTATTTTAAAAAGATATAGAAAGCAAAGGTGGTAGACATATATCCTACCATACCAATAATTCCATTAAATATAAATAAAATGAACACTAAATAAAAGTTGGGTTTTTTAGAAATGCCTGAACTTTGTGCTGTCTATAAACTATAAGCCTTAGAACCAGCGTGAGGAGCAGGCAGAATGCAGAAGCACAGAAAAAACAATGCAGCACAAACAGAGCCGGAGCAGCTAAATTAATACCAAAGTAGACTCACAACCAATGCGGTCACCAGAGACAAAGGAAACTACTTCATAATGACAGCAGAGCAAACTCCTCAGGAGATAATTGCAAAAACATAGGCGCTTAGGAACAGAGCTCCACAATCCACAAAAAAGCTCACAGTGTTACAGGGAAACATAGACACTTCAACAACACAGTTAGAAAGGTCAACTTAACACATTCCATGACACAAAACGTAATAGCCCGACAGCTCAACAGAGGACAGGAGACTTCAGCAATACACTGAGCCAGCTGGATCTGCAAGACCCGCGGAGAGGGCAGAAGCCTCTCCTGTCCGTCCAGCACAGCAGAGGCGCATTCTTTTCAAACGGCCCAGGTGCTTCATCCAGGACAGAACACCTTTAGGCATAAACAAAGCTCAATATTTTTAAAAGGACTGAGGTCATATGAAATATGTCCTCCGACCAGAGTGGACTCGTACTGGAAACCAACAGCAGAAGCAAGCTTGGGAAAAGTCATGTGTACAAACCAGTTCACCACGGACCTGAATAACCAGTGGGCCAAAAAGCCAAAAGGGAAACAATTGGCAGAGAATCTTAGATTAACGGGGAAAATAAAGTTCAACATACTCAGACTTCTGGTGTTCAGCTAGAAGAGTACACGGAAGGAAAGATGTAGCTATGACGCCTAAATTTAAGAAAACAAATCTAAAAACAATAACCTCTTTAATCCTAAGACATTAGTAAAAGACTTTCTAATCTTGAAGCAGATAGAAATAGAAAAGT